ACACGTGTAACTTATTCCATTCATTTGGAAGGTGTTTCATGGACGCCCCCCGAATTGGCCCCCGTGGTCCGAAACGACTCCGAATTGATATGGTCTGACCCTCAGGGGCCCCTCAAACGATCCGCAAAGTTTGGGGCCCGCAGGACCTTTGCAAGTGCTTAATTGGCTGGGCGGGGGATGGGCGGATTATATAATTTTCTCTGAATATTTTTTCTGATTTTTTTTCAAGTGCTTCCCCTGCACCGAGGCGTACGAAATTTGAATAGGTGGTGCAGGGGGTCTTGACGAAACTGTAGTCGAAGCCCCCAACGTTTTGCGCCAAAATAAAGGTCCCTTTGACCACTCAAACAAAAAGGTCCCACGGGCAACTTATTTTTAGGCCGTCCGCGGACAGGGCTTTTTTAGGCCACAGAAGCCGTTTGGTGAGCTCTGACTTGACACACACTGTCGGATGAGGTCCCTGACCCCTCCTAACTACCCAAATAACCCCTAAACTTTGAGGGTGCAAAGTTCACCTCAAAAGTGCAAAGTCATTCTTGAGACAGACTTGCAGTACACAGGTGAAAGAGGCATGTGTGAGAGATTTGCTCTGCCTTGCCAATTAAGAGTTGCGTTTGAGCGAGGCACTTGTGCTCTCAGTATGTTGTTCGGGGGCCCCTAGGCTGCCAGCAGGCCAAGTTTGGAACCGCTCGGACCCCCGGGGGCCGATCTGGGGCCCCTGACACGTGCAACTTATTCCATTCATTTTGTAGGTGTTTCGTGGAAAGTGCCCGATCGGCCCCAAACTGACATATATGTTACGTCACGGGCCCCTGAATCAGGCCCCCGAGTTCCGCGGTCGCACTGGCTAATTTGCTCAAAAAAACCCCCAATGACCGCGAACCACCTATGGAATTTACAATGAAATAAGTTGCACGTGGGACGTTGGCTCCCGAAGGGTCGAAAGGTCAGAGGGCCCCGAAAATCGGCACAGGGGTCATGTTGGGGCCCCCGACACGAGACCCAGAGTGTCGGGCCGCAGATGGCTTCCGTGTACATGGGAGCGTCGACGTTACCCGATCGGCCCCGAACTGACATATATGTTACGTCACGGGCCCCTGAATCAGGCCCCCAAGTTCCGCGGTCACACGATCTAATTTGCTCAAAAAAGCCCCCCATGACCGCGAACCACCTATGGAGTTTACATTGAATAAGTAGCAGGTGGGACGTTGGCTCCCGAGAGGTCAAAAGGTCAGAGGGCCCCGAAATTCGACGTGGTGGTCGTGCAGGGGCCCCCGACACGGCACCTCGAATTTCAGGGCCCCAGAAGGTCTCGTGAAGGTTTTATAGAGTGCCAAAAAAAAATCCTCTAAAAACACAGAAAGTGCCTCAAGACAGTCTTGGGGTCTAAAGACTAAAGAGGCCTTTCTGTGAAAGTTGGGCTGAGAAGCCAATTAAGAGTTGTGTTCGAGCGAGGCACTTGTGCTCTCAGTATGTTGTTCTGGGGCCCCTAGGCTGCCAGCAGGCCAAATTTGGAGTCCCTCGGGCCCCCGGGGGCCGAACCGGGGCCCGTGACACGTGCAACTTATTCCATTCATTTTGTAGGTGTTTCGTGGAAAGTGCCCGATCGACCCCAAATTGACATATATGTTACGTCACAGGCCCCTGAATCGGGCCCCCAAGTTCCGCGGTCGCACTGGCAAATTTGCTCAAAAAAACCCCCAATGACCGCGAACCACCTATGGAGTTTACATTGAAATAAGTTGCACGTGGGACGTTGGCTCCCGAAGGGTCGAAAGGTCAGAGGGCCCCGAAAATCGGCACGGGGGTCATGTCGGGGCCCCCGACACGAGACCCAGAGTGTCAGGTCGCAGATGGCTTTCGTGTACATGGGAGCGCTGACGTTACCCGATCGGCCCCGAACTGACATATATGTTACGTCACGGGCCCCTGGATCAGGCCCCCAAGTTCCGCGGTCACACGGTCTAATTTGCTCAAAAAAGCCCCCCTTGACCGCGAATCACCTATGGATTTTGCATTGAAATAAGTTGCACGTGGGACGTTGGCTCCCGAGAGGTCAAAAGGTCAGAGGGCCCCGAAAATCGGCACAGGGGTCATGTTGGGGCCCCCGACACGAGACCCAGAGTGTCGGGCCGCAGATGGCTTCCGTGTACATGGGAGCGCTGACGTTACCCGATCGGCCCCGAACTGACATATATGTTACGTCATGGGCCCCTGAATCAGGCCCCCGAGTTCCGCGGGCGCACGCGCTAATTTGCTCAAAAAAGCCCCCCATGACCGCGAACCACCTATGAAATTCCATTGAATAAGTTGCAGATGGGACAAGGCCGTACAGGGGTTCAAAAGGTCGCAGGACCCCCAAATTTGGCACAGAGTACCGCCACCGGCCCCTCAGCCAGGTCCCCAAGTTCCGTGGCCCTAGCTCCTTTCTGAGCGTTTTAGGCCTGGCCGACAAAAACACCCTCTTAGGCCTCATTGTATAGAGCTGTATGAGAGACAGAGGGATGTATGAAGAGCTCAGAAATTTTTTTGGAGCGCCCCTCGAGCTAGCCCTTTCGGTAGGTGACAGAGGGCCTTGTGACGCAACTCTGTGCCAAATCTGGGGTCTCTCAGACCCTCGGTGGCCGAAGGGGGGCCGCTGACACGTGTAACTTATCCCATTCATTTTAATAGGTGGTTCGTGGACGCCCCGCGGAATGGCCCCCGTGGTCCCAAATGGCTCCGAATTGATATGTTCTGACCCTCAAGGGCCCCTTCAAAGATCCTCAAAGTTTGGGGCCCGCAGGTCCTTTGGAAAGGCTTAATTGGCTGGGCGGGGGAGGGGCGGATTCAATAATTTTCACTGAATATTTCTTTCTGATTTTTTTTCAAGTGCTTCCCCTGCACCGAGGGGTACGAAATTTGAATAGCTGATGCAGGGGGCCTTGACGAAACTGTAGTCGAAGCCCCCACCGTTTTGCGCCAAAATAAAGGTCCCTTTGACCACTCAAACTACAAGTCCCACGTGTAACTTATTTGAATGGGCCCAGATAGGCTGTTTGTGGACAGTGCTTTTTTAGGCCACAGAAGCCGTTTGGTGAGCTCTGACTTGACAGACACTGTTGGACGGGGTCCCTGACCCCTCCTAACTACCCAAATGACCCCTAACCTTTGAGGGTGCAAAGTTGACCTCAAACATGCAAAGTCATTCATGAGACAGACTTAGAGTGCATAGGTGAAAGAGGCCTGGGTGAGAGATTTGCTCTGCCTCGCCAATTAAGAGTTGCGTTCGAGCGAGGCACTTGTGCTCTCAGTATGGTGTTTGGGGGCCCCTAGGCTACCAGCAGACCAAGTTTGGAGCCCCTCGGACCCTCTGGGGCCGATCCAGGGCCCATGACACATGTAACTTATCCCATTCATTTTATAGGTGGTTCGTGGACGCCCTGCCGAATGGCCCCCGTGGCCCGAAACGGCTCCGAAATGATATGGTCTGACCCTCAGGGGTCCCTTAAAA